ATCGAACCACATTGGTATGAGCAAGACACTCTCAATGCATAAGTCTTGAATGATTTACGTCGCTACATCCATATCTACGCTTTGAATAGATGAACCATAAATTAACATATATAATCCTTTGACCATCTAATCATTTGAACTCATGATTGACATTCTTGCGAATAAACTATCGTCTCACGCTTCATATCCATCTTTTATCCCGGTATCGTCTCAGGTGACGCTTATACTCATAAATGCTCAGTAAGAACTGCCAGTCAGTAACTTTTCCACATATTACTTGATTGATGAACTTCATCATCAGAATTAATCTTGAATCAAAATTTCTTAGGCACTTCCTCGTCGCGTGCGCTTTCCTGACCGGATCATTGGCGGTGACCGAAATTGCATTGACTATTGCCGCATTTCAACTTCTCAATCGACTCAAGACTCGAGTTGCTACCCAACTACCCCACGGAATACTTCATGCAGACCCTATCCTTGATACCGGAATCGCGATTATTGTCGTGTCAATTCTTGCAATCCTCCCATCAGTTAAGTGCATTATCTTCACATCGCGGGTAGGAACGATGCTGGAGCCTTTGTTAGAATGATACTGCCTGCAAGGTATGAAATCAGTCTGAAGTTTTGAATCAGACAAAAAGATCCATGTTCTTCCCCATCTAACATAGCTGAAATCAAGACTCATGATCATTTCATACAGTGCACGCATGATTCTGAACGAGTATCTTGCATAGTTTCTTCCTGTAGTACTACAATCTCACCATTCTTGCAATTCTAACGCATGTATTTGAATCTTCTTTATTTTAGATTTTTGGTAGTGTCTTTCGCCTGGCCCATCGCTGCCCGACGGAGAATTTTCGATACTTTGCGATTGTGACTTTCGCATATTTACCTGTCCTGGTAGTTGGAACCGTGATTGGGTTGACGTGGCATGCTTCCGTCACATCGGCTCTGCCTCAGTTGATGGTGAAGAGGTTAATCGCGGGAAGTGGTATGAGCCTTTACTATCACAGCTATAGGGCCGTGATGGCTGTTATTGTGAATGGTTGGATAGTATTCGCAAGCTTGGTCCTAGCGTGAGCACCTTACTTGATTTTGTAGTTCATAATGGTCGTCTGCTGAAATTGGCGCTGGGCGTATGACAGTACGATGTTGGAAAGGATGACGTTCAAGGCTACCCAACAAGATCAACAGACTATGTCTTCGCCAGTATTTTTGACTGATGAATCGAAAAATAGCGATGAGGAAGGGATTTAGCTTAGATATGAATTGTCTGAGATTCTTGATGACTCCTTACATAGCTGATCTATATCCACAGCCTTGGAAAAGTGTAACTGGCTTTCTGATTTGTTTAGCTCACCTATCATATTCCCAAATATTTTATCTATTTGTCTATTCATTCATTCTTTCCCCTCACGGACTTGTTCAAGTCACAAACATCAGTAGCTTCGAATCCTGGAGATAGAAACGGGATTTCTTTTCTTGACTCTCCAATTAATAATTATATCGATTTGTTTTTATGTTTTCAGTTCCTTAGGCTCGTATTTTGAAATCTAGAGAAGATTTCTTAGTAAATCATGACTATTTGATCTCACACATGACTCAAAAAAGACAACAGGTATTTTGAACCCTTGAGTGAGGACAAATTTTCCTTTATCTGACCATCCACGAGTATAAGACACGATATTTAAACCGATAGCAAAACTTGGTTAACTTCATGGGAATGTCCATCAAAGGTGGGCCTTCAGCGTCCGTCGGTAAGAGACATGGTATGTGGATCTTGCCAGGAGTTCAGATGACTCACAAAAGTCCTAAAAATGTCATCAGTGAAGCAAAGTAGATATGGAAGTTTAAAACTGATGGTTGTTAATCACAGCCGCAAGTGGTTGAGGGAGACTTTGGTGCGATAATTTTTCCACATGACCATGATTCATCATGCCATGTTGCGTGTTTGACCTATGTTTAAGGATCTGACAAACTCTGCCTACTTCTCTTTGTTGGGAAATCTGGTCTCGTTGTAACCTTGAGACCTTATGATTTGACTTTTTTTCTCTAGCAATAGAATGTTTCAGTTTAATTCCTTTGTTGAAGTTGGTGTAGTTTCAAGACAAATCCTTTCTCTCTTCATCTTTGGGTCAAGAAACCACTAGAGCAGCATAACAGTAAGTCTTCAAGAAAATTGAATTATTCTCCATCAAAAATCGGTCATATTCACACATTGTAACTGTAAACCAGCTCTGTGACTAATGCAAAAACCTCACTCTGATGTCTTATGAGGCAAACTGAAAGGATAACAGGCCAAAACACAAGTACGGTTTTGGAAACCTATAAAAGTCCTGTATAGATCATAGAAAAATCTAGTTCCTTCAGAGATAACACCTTTTGCATTCTTTGGATTCTTGTAGCCTACAAAATAAAGTTCTATTACATCTCTGTTCTGTTATTTTCCTTTCTGATAAACAAGGGAACCATTCTACTAAGACATCATCAAGAGCAAGAAGAGAACTATTCGCCAGTTTGACAATTTTTTTAACAAAGTTTCTTGAGGGGTTAAAGCAATCCTTGTCGCTTCAAATCCTCATATGTCTATACAAGCACCAAGCAATACCAATGTCAGTATGAGAAGTAGATGATTGTAAACGTGATAATTTCATTGCTAACCTTGCGATTGTACACATTTCCGTCGTCATCCTCTAGCTCTTCCATTGTCTCATCTCTAAAGATTTCAGCCCGCCCCTCCGACTTGAGCTTCTCAGCCACTATCAATCAACTCAGTAAAGAATGGTCAACAGAGCACCCCTAAGCTAGAAATATAGAAGAAACTACGAACATGCAAATGCATCCTCAATCCGAGTGATCTCGTGGAAATGTTTAGTATTCGGTAAACCGAGCGCACGCATTCCGAACGCGTGCCTCGACTCTTGAAAGTGTCGCTCAAAGTTTTTCCTGGAAGAGACAAACATCATCAGGGTGCAGAAGATAAAAAACCAAAGCACACGAGACATACCTGCCCATGTAGATAAAGTCACTACAAATTTCGCACTTGTATTCAACCCCCAACCCATGCAGCTTATACAGCCAATATGGGATCGGTTTTCCATCCCAGCCTAACGGAAGCTTCAAAGGGTTGTAGATACGTGCCTCATCGTCGTCCTCTTCCAGACCTTGTGCGCCCTGTTCACCCTCTCTAGCCGCCCTCTCTGCCTCTCCACGCTCTGCAGCTTCACGCGCAGCTTGTTCCTCAATCTCTTGTTGTCGTTCTTTGTCCGTAAGCGCAGCCCGTCGCTCAACATTAGCCTTTGTATCCACACGAATGCTAGTCAGTTTGGTTCCTAACATGGCGATTTCTTGCTCTAGTAAAGCCAGTGCATGATCTTTGGCCCGTCGGATCTCATTGATGTTCCCGTTTGTGCTGGAAGTAGTTGCGGTAATGTTCGTGAAAGAAGTCGAGCTGGTAAGACGCTCGGCTGCGCGGATGTGTTTCTTGGACTGAAGATGGGCATTATAGACAGTCTCTTTGGAGTAGTGTTTACTACAGGCAGCACACCAAATTGCGGAAGCTTCTGCAGAAGTTCCGGCTGTGGTTGTAGTAGGATCCTCCCAACCTTGAATTTCCCCAGCAGCCCACTTGGTCTCGAACTCTGTACTAACAGCCACTAAATCGGCATCTAGATCTTGCATAGGTCGAATTCGTTTATGGAATGAGACTAAATATTCTCTCAGCTCCCGCAGGTATCTAGATAACCACGCAAGAATGTGACAAAAAGAATAACAAATCAGATTAAGAATTTTTCGATCTCAGAGCCTTCAACACTTTGTCCCGCCTGTGTTTGGACGATCTAAGAGGAAGGTTGAATGAGTATGGTCAGGTTAAACCTGCTCTTTAGCTAAACCCTCACGCACATATCATATTCGTTTTTAGACTTTGTGGAGCGAGGTAGGATGTCGAATTTGTCAAATGAGTCAATGTATGCGATGTAAGCGAGTCGCTTGTTGGCAGAGGGGGTGAGGTTGTTGTACGCGTCATGGTGTATATGTAGATCGAGGTACCTCCCAAGCATTTCTTCGCCAGTGAACATCCGGTCAACGACTATCATAGCAGGAAGATATTTAAGATTACGTCGAATACTCAAGCTATACACAAAGTGAGGACTACCCACAATCACGACCCTCTATATCCACCCCTCCCAATGCACCCCAATCGATCTCCGGCTCTTCCACCATTCTATTTGGGTATTTGTTATGATATTCGTTCAGTCGGCCAAGTCTAGCATAGAATTCGGTCAACTCGCCTCCAGCCGTCGAGAGTCGTTCGATCTCTGTTGAATGTTCACCATCAGGATCGGCATAAACTTCAACCAACGAATTCGCGCGTTCGGTGATAAGTTCAGAGAGGTAAGAAGCTCGATGGGCTTGAACAAGTTGGTCGCGATGCACCTTTGGTGTGCCAGGAAGGAGAAGTGAGGTGAGGTGACTCATAAGTCGGTCCAAGTCCTGTGAAGGTGAGCTCATAGAAACGTCAGAATTTGAACCAGTAGAAAGGAGAGAAGCCACACTAACCTGATGAGTACCCCGAACATCCTCTAGCAGAGAGAAAGACATCCTTCAGAATTCGATATTCGATTGGCTGATGTGTCCTTGATCTCTGTCGGATCGAACGCTCCAGACAACTGAGTTGAAATTCGGTCCGAAGCACCAAGAGGAAGTCCGAGTAGTCCGAGCCCTATAGATAGTACCGGGCCCTGATATGGTCGAGGAAAGTTTGAACAATTGATTTGTGGGTTTCAACTTTTTGGCCATTTGATGCCATGAGAGACTGAAACATCAAATCTGCTGAAGGACAGTGAAGCACACCCATGCCATTGCTGGATATAATCTCGATCATCAACTCCAGATCTCATTTCGAAGGGCTTTCAAACATACAATGAATGAAATCAAGAATATATTACCAATAGAAATCATCAATCAAATCTTACGAGACTTTGTTGATGAATTGGAAAAAGAACCTGAATCGAATGATGCAACTGCTTCAGAGCGTTATCTTAAAAATTCATCTTACACGGAATTGATCAAACTGAGATTACTTGGAAAGAATTGGTCAAAAGCTGTTGTACAATTTTATTTTAAATCGATCACCATAAAGACTTCAAGATATGCGAGATCGATCATCGATAACTGGAATGATGATTTATTCAAGCCTTGTTTTTCTTGCCCTGTTGAAAGACTTTCCTTTTCGCAAGTTTATTATTCATTAGAAGAAGAATTAGGAAAAGTAGATGAAGATGGAGATCAAGCGGGTTATACGATGTCACAAACAGGTATTGAGAGCTCTTTAACTTGACTTTCTTGGGTGAGCTTTTGAAGTATTGACATGTAGCATTTGTTTTATCTTCGTGTCAAGAAGTATCAACTGCAGTTTCAATGAATCAATGCTCAAGACTGATCGAATTACTTGGTATGAACCTGAAGACTTTGCACATCAGATTTAATAACTCTATGGGGGCTTCTTCAAACTTGATCAAAGCTATCAAAAATATCCGAGACTTAAAGTCATTAGAGCTCTCATCTATGGTGACTGGATCCGAGAATGGAGTTAACCGTTGGAAGTCAATAGCGATTTTACTCTCAGAGATACCTAAACTGGAGTATTTAACACTCAATCATGATGCATGGCTGAAAACTTCGGATCTAAAACCTCCGGCTTTAACAAGTTTACGTTACTTTTGCTTTGAGTTTGATAAGAATAGTGTAGAAGCACTTGCTCAAATCACTCAAATTTCAAAAAACTCTTTGAAAATGATTGAACTTCATGATTTTGATCGAGATCCTGAAGGTTTATTACAAGTTTTTGAACCTATCAAAGATACATTGGAAGGTCTCTTTACGACGTCATTTGTTGATCAGATTCCTTTGATTCTCATCAAGTTTAACTTTTCAAATTTAAGAGTCATCAGGACCCAATGTGATCATCATCCGATCCCAACCCTCTATTGGTTAGGAGAACCAATGACAAAAAATATTAGAACAATAGTTACAGAGTTGAATGATGCAAATCAGGCTTATTTATTGACGGCTTTAGGATATACTCTACCGAAGGATCGGCACAAACTTCTCAATTTAAAACATATTGTCTTCACCAAATATCAATATACTGAAAACGAACTCGATCCTGAATTGACTGAAGCTTATGAAATATTTGGAGTACAATTCCATGTCACTCATCCATTGACAGCAGATGAAATCTTGGTTCGTCTAATTTGTTTCATTCTTATCATACAAGTATTTCTGGGAGCATACATTTTTTCGAGATTCCATACTGATTGTTACACTTGATAATCAGGAACTTGATTATAAGCTCAATGGCCCAATGAAATAATTTATTAGATTGACTCATCAAAGTTCTTGAGCACCCACTTTCTCAAGTATCGCTGTATGATTTCCAGAAATTTCTAATGTATTGTATAAGCAAAAAAATGTGATAATAGCGCTCAACTATATTTTCTAGAATTACTTGAAGTCAGTGTAAGAGTTGCATTGAATCCAAGAGGTAGGAGTGTTGATCCTATCAAGCTCACTGAAAGCCTGCAGTATCTAGTGAGTTGTGATTTCTATGAACACTAACTCGTAGACTGTGGATTCGGGGTTGCGTCTCATGTATTCGGAGTTGCGTCTCACAAGGATATTTTTCGCGATGTCTAGAAAGCAATTTCATTCGTGGAAAGAAGTTGCACAATGTCCAAGGTTTCACAAAGATGCGATCTGTGCTCAACATGATGAACGAAATTGAAAATGAACGGGATTGAAATGACACAAAGGATTCTCAATGGTCCATCAAGACTCTATACAAGTGGGTACAAGCCCAATGAGAAACAGTACTAAAGATGCTAAACAAATGGAAAATCGATATACAGCACTTGTATACAAGGCCAAACTTTTCTTCGAGGATATGAAGAATCCAATGATTTGGTCGATAAAGACCAGAACTAGGATTGATCAGCGCAAGAGTCCAAGTTGTGGACCATACCTAGATTTTTCTGGTAAGGATCGACACCAAGGACCCATCCGTTAAGGAATTGTTGAAGGTAATCCTGAAAGATGAGAAGGGAGATTAGTGATAGTTGAGGTGAAGTTTGTAAAGAATTAAGACTAACAAGGTTCTGTTGACAAACGCAACAACCAGTTTGTTTGGCTGCGACGGCTTGGCCATGGGTTAGACCCTTACTCCAACCTACGAATTTGTCCAATCATCAGTTGTTGTTCATCAATGTTAAGAGCATGCGACATACCGTTATAAGCTCCGAGCGCAAGTAGGCTGTGAACGCGAGAGACGTGATTAGTCAGACGTATATTTCTTGTAAACACCAAGCTGGCGGCTTACACATTCCCACCGGAAGCGGAAAGACCATCTGCAAATGTCTTAGCACCCATGGCAATATTGTAATCCGGGTTCGACTGAAATGAAGAAGATATCGACTGTCAGATAGGGAGGTGGTGTGTGGACATGATTACAACAACGTACGCAATCTCCTCCTGGAGCACCACCGCATTTATCCGAGGTGATTTGCATCAAACCCCAAGCACCACCGTTATCACCTTTACAACTTGGGTCACAAGACGATTCTTGCATGGCAAACGCGGCCAAAAAGATGGGCGGGACTGAGAAGGTGACAAAAATAAAGGAGTCAGATGAAAAATGTAGACGTAGAAGATGTAGACGAGGATACTAACTATTGTACTTTTGGCCGTATTTCTCAAAGATAGAGTTGAACTTTTGGCAAGGAGCGAAAGTACTCTTTGCAGGTTCGGATTCGAGAGTAACAGTCTTGATCATACCCATTTTGACAGGCGCAGGTTCCCAACCACCGCCATTGATACCGCAGTTGAGGAAATCTTGACTTCCGTTAGGGCCAGCACTCTGAGTGATTGAACTGATAGCCTTAGGAGGTCCACAAGCGCTGGTCAAAGATGCCATGGATAAAGTAGTTTTCGAACCGGAAGCTGACACGTAGCCATCCGACGCGGCCGAGACGACAGCTTTGCCTACAGGGGTGTAGTTGAGGTTGACGAGTTTTTTACTTCTATTCTTCACAGAGAGAGTGGGGGCCACGTTGGCCTCCACTTTAGCTTTCTTGATGGTCGCTTTGTGGTGGTGTGATTGGTGATGATGTTTTTTCTTTTTGGAATGCTTGACGAGTCGGGAGTGGTCGGTTTGGACATTGCGGACGGAGTAATTGTGCACTAGAGAGTTAGAATTTGAAACATTCATCTTCTCTGCAACAGCGGAACCGTGGGCCATGATGATGGTGACGGTAGAGATGGCAAACAATAACCACGAGCTTCGCGCAAGTTGTGCGAGCATATTGGAGATAGTTGACGATGAAAGATGGTCGAGCTGGTGAAATGATTTAGCAAGAGGCAAAAGAGCCAAATAAAGATAGTGATTGCAATGAAAAAATACGATAACTAAAGAGTGGAGTGCGATTGACGGTAGCTTGCGCAAATATATGTGCCGTGCGATAAATGAGGAAATGAACAAAGTACCGTTTCTGTTTGATTTGAAATGTTTGATTTGAAAGATCAGGCGTTTGTCAACTAAGGACAGGGATGATAATTTTAATAAGGCACCTACTAGATGTGTGGACAGTGGATTATAAGCCAAGGATAAAGACCTGCTTGTTTTTTTGGAAAAGGAGCAATGCGTTGAATGAAATGAAAGTTGAACCAAGCCGGTCTGATATAGGAACGAATTGAGTAGACGAAGGCACTTGAAAATAGATTAAAGGAAATTGATGAGCAGCGTTCAGATGTGCGACTAGCTCAACCGACTGGGAGGGACTGGCCGATGATTTGCGTATCTCTCAGCACAGCTCAACACCGACTCAGCTTCCCAGTCTGGGCCTCAGGGAACCCATCGGGGGACATCATGGGGCCCTTTCTCGAAGTTCAAAGTTGCCAACTGTCAACATATGATATCCTGAAACTTGAGCCATAACCAGTATGGAATTTCCCACGCGTCATTGGTATTGTTGGTTGTCAATTAATGTCATCAAAATTGTCCTTTGACGACTTTGAACGAGGTGCTTCCGTGTTTCCGGTTGGACCCAGCATACGGAATTAAATTCTCCACCAATGTTATCGCTGAAAAAAGCCGCTAAACTCTTCGTATGAGGTTTTTGACAATTTATAGTCAACCTTTTCGTTTGGGTATAAAATATAATGATCTTTATCTGGTATTGTTGCAGTGAATATCTTCAATAATTGCATTTGTAAATGCCAAGTATTAGAAATTACAAGTCCTCATGAAAAATTATTCTTGGTCTTTAGCATCCGCGCTCGGCAACGAGCCATCGCCGGAATCTGAATGAAGCCCCGCCGGGGATCTCCCACGCGACATTGTCATCCGCAAAGGCAATTTAATGACGTCGGAATTCACCTTTGAGCTGCTGTGTGGGTGCCGGTGCCACCGTCTATGCACGAAAGTCTCTGCTAAGCTGCTGCTGAAAGAAGTCATCACTAAGCTTTTGATGAACATTTTCAATAGTATGGCTTTTCCAAAATTTGGTATCCTCCAACCTAGTTTAGTTCGGGTGTCTTAAATTATGATAAACCCATCTTGTTGCGAACCTACATCAAAAATTACATTTTCAAGGCTTGACCCTATATTTGAAGGGTTATTTTTGTTAGTGCCATTGGTTCGGAAGCCAGATATTGAATATGGCGACCCTACCGGCATTTGACTGCTGTGAATAATCAGTTGCCGATATTTCAAGTGTGGCTACGAAATTCCATCCGGTAAGGAGATCACAGAGCGTAATCGGGCTTGATTGCGACCGGTTTCGATAAACCGAAGATCAACAAGTCGGTCGGTACACCTTAAGTTCAACTTCAAGGCATGCTAAAAAACCCGGTGATTGAGCAAAACCTGCTTACTTTGACTTTGTCGCATCTGATCAATGCATGATCTGACAGAGTTGAAGAATTTGAAAGACATATCTAAAGTCCACTTGTTAACATGTGCATGAGCATGTACACTCATCTTCCGCCATGAATTGCGCCATGATTGCTGTTGGAATGAAAATTGCTTGCAGAGTCTCTGGGAAAGGTTCATAGTGAGTAAGGATGAACTATTTGCGAAGTGATTTCACTTTGCTAAGTTGAGTGATCCTTGATTCATATCAGCAGAATGGAGCAAGATATTATCTTGATTTGTTCACACTCGGTCCATAATCTTACAGTCTGTTTAAAGCTGCAGTTACTCATGGTTCTTTGTGGAGGGAAACCCTGTAGCAATATTGCGAGATTTTTCTGAACCTGACGGATCCCAGCAAACATGGTTGGTAAAGATTCCTACATTATTTATAACTGAGCCACGAAATGTTCAACCAAATATACATTTCAATTGATGATGGTCATATCATAAAATTTAGTTTACTCAAGTCAGATGAATAAAAGATTAATTGTTCATGGAATCCATTTCTCGAATATCTCATCCATCAACTTCATGCGATCTTTCTCTTTCTTTCGATGTTCAGGGTAATACTTGACTATCCATGCTGCTTCTTCATCCAAATTCTCACACATCTCAAAAACCGACTCCAAAAAAGGTACTAGTCTTTCTTCTGTTTGTCGACTTTGATCTTGAATTGAGTTCACAATCTGCTCACTATTTTTTTTTTGAAGATAAAATGTATAGTCGAGCAAACGATCAATCCGCAGCAGAGGATATTGCAAAAAACTATCAACGCATTTTTCGGAGGAAAGAAAGGAGAGTCAAATTTGAACTCACCTTTGTTTAACGCAAGTGTTCATCACACGTTCAGCATGTCTGACAAGAATCATATGTGTATCAACCGCGGCGCTTTTTGTCTCATTTTTCTTCCGCCCCAAATTATCAATGATGATCTGAAGCAGACGGACAATAAATTAGCGGGCAGAATCTTGAGATAAAACGAGGGTCGCTCAGATCTTGAGCATACCTTTGTGAGCTGGTCCATGCATTCTGAGATCTTCTGTTCATGCTCGTTTGTGTACTTAGTTTGAGCTCGAGGCGATGGAGGGGCCAGCTTAACGATTTCTCGCGGCGCGTCTACGAAACGCTCAGTCCTTTCCTTCCTGATAGGCTCAGCTACCGTACGTTGAGCGCGGGAAGATTCTGGCCATATAGTTGATGTTGGTTTCGATTTTGGAGCTCTCACCGATGGAGAAGCTTCTGATCCCAAGGATTTGTGGACGAAGCCAGGCGCACGTGCTTGGACAGTTTTCTGCGAGAAGAATATGAGACAATGCTCACTTTTAGTAAGAAAAAAGATAATTTGAAAATGCGAAAGTGGAAAGATGTGATATTTGGTAGTGACGTACTTGTCCAATCTCATTCTTCAAACTAGGTTTGGTCTGGCGAGATGGACCTGGCTCTTCCGAAAAGTCATCATCCATATTCAAACCTTTGAGTATTTTATCAACATTCAATCGCTTGCCTGACTTCTCGAGTCTTGTTAGTCTTTCGACGACACCGACGTCGAAACTTTCTTTGGGCCATTCAGTTGATGACTCCAATGCGCTTTCTTGTTTACCCTTCCTTTTGTACCCGACTCCCAATTCTGATCCCCCAATGAAGTATTTATCATCGTGTCTTTTGCTCACTGAAGTTACCATCGCTTTATTGACAGCTGAATTTTGGGAAGGGAGTCGAAAACGTAAGGTTCTATCAGCCTGTTTGTCGCTGTTCTTTTGACCTTGACCATGAATGTTCTTCTCTTCTACATCGTCGAATTCATCAACTGAATCAGAATGATCATCAATAGCATCCTCAAGCAAATGTTCTAAACGGGGTTTAGGTGAAGGGAAACGGCTTCTTCGGGGGCTTTCCATGTTGTCGTACATTCTTTGTGACTCAATCGCATACGCTCCTTGATCGGAGATCTGCTCGGAATCTCGCAATTCTTGTGGATTACCCTGATAGTGATCAATGATTTGCTTCAAGCTCACCTCGGGCGGTGATTCAAGTACGATCGAAGAAGGAATGGAAGTTTCACGGAGGCCTTCATTATCAGCATAAAAGGTCAGTCCGGACGGGGATTCAAGTACTATCGAAGCAGGAACGGAAACTTCGCGAAGGCGTTTCTTCGCAGCAGAATGCGGTCCCGTAGAATGCGATTCCAAGTGCTTTGATTGTGTTTCTTTCTCGTCGATTCGCCGAGAAGCCAGAGAGTCAATCATGCCAGGTCTCTCTTTCGGCATCAAGAGTTTTTTCGTAGAATTGTGTCCATGTTCAAACCTGAGAATCTTTCGTTTAGCTTCTGAATGGAAGACTTCGGATTTTCTTTTACGATTCATTTCTATTGGTTTAGCTTCATGATCAAGGAAATCGGAAAGTATGCCCTTCATGTCATCGGTCGACAGGTTCCGGTCGGAGAGAGAGATTCCCTTCACTTTGGGGCGGTTAGAAGTCAGAATCTCATTCGGTGACTTCAATAGGGTGGCTGCGGATTCTCCCAATGCTGAAGTTGGATCTCCATCGTAGTGAGAGTCTTCGAATTTGGATTCAGATTTGTGGGTGTCTTCTTTTTCTGATGCAATTCTTTTTGTTCGTGGTGAATGAGGTCTGGCCAAGCGATTTGTGAATTTTTTGGCTGGTTCCGAGCGCGGAAGATCAGTAGATTTTGATAGAACCGTCACAACGGGGGCTCTATTACTAATTTGCTTTGCCCGTGATTGACGTTTCCGATCCGCCTCTGGTCTGGATTTCTCGGGTGCTCGCTTCTGTAGGCCAGAATCATCTAAATCGACCGCTTCTTGTCCGAACTCTGACGAATGAAGCGCAGGCTTCTTGAAAACTGATTGTTTCACACGCGTCTCCTTGAGATTAGCTATAACTTTAGGTCGCTTGTAGATCGGTTGGATGTCCTCGAGTTCGTCTGTTTTCTCAGAGCCGCAATAGCTTGCGACGTCGGAAGTTTTCGGAATACTCTTACCGTGACCACTAGTTGGTTCGTCAGTCGCACTATCAATTATCATTTTTCGGTGATAAGGTCGCTTGAGATGGTTTAGCTTGAGAGGTTTTTCGAATGGAACATTTTCTTTATCTGTGTCACCTCCAGATGGTGAACTCTGATGGGTTGATCGCAGTTGAGGTTTTTGAGCAGCATAATTATGAGATAGATCCGTGCGATCGTCATTTGGGGTTTCGAGTGGCTGGAGTTTACCAGCTTGCTTGTCTAGATGTTGGACGTTCTTTTTTATCAAAGGTTCATCTTCGTTCTTTGGCTTCGGGAGACGCTCCATTTCTTGCACTGAGATTTTCTCATCGTCAGATTTCACATACCTAGGAAGTTTATCGGGTTTGGAGGGTAGCGTAGGGTTCTTGGTTTTCAATGGATCCCTGGACTTCGAAGTGGGGATGGACGGAAAACTCTCCTTGCTGCTCCGGGACCTCGAGTGATCTGCTTCGGGATTTTCGAAGTTACCCGCTAAACAGCTATCCTCGTCGCCCTTCGCTCTGTTGATAGATTCCAACGGAGGAAAAGATGTCAAGGAAGATGACGAAGAGGAAGATATCTCGACCACTTTCGTATGTGGAGGCGGCGCATTCTTCGACTTTGCTGGAATTGAGATCACTCGTTCCTTGGGTCGAGTCCTAGGAACATGGCTTTCAGCGGGCCGGAAGTTCTTTGTGCTTTTATCGTTTTTAAGATCCAAGCTTTTAAAGTTTCCCTGAGCTGCGGATCGATGGCCAAGAGTCTTATTTGGAAGTGGTTTTATGCTGTTAACGGAGAATCCCATGTCGTCGCGAGATATATCGCTCTGTGCTTCTCTTTCCACTTTGGCAGCTCTCGCTTGAGAGTTGTCAGGATAAGCTTTTATGCCTTCCTCACGACTCATATGACCAACATTCACCGCTAGCAGGTGTTCTTTGTTCATAGAGACTTTAGAAAGTGTTCGATCCGCATGATGTCGCGATTCCGCATGTATCTTGCGCTGGCTCTCTTTCTCAGCGCCAATAGCTTCAAATGGAGTGATGGGTATTAGACTGAAATTCTGCATTTGTTTACAAAAGTACCCCAAAACCATCATCAGCATAGAACTCGAGTGATATGAATGAATTCGAAGGACTGACTATATGCCTGTTCTTTAGTAGACGAGGCAGTATGAAATCGTAGCGCGAGCTAATGATCAAAGATAGAAAGCTACTGCTGGTTCGCTTTATCGGAATTCCTTCAATGATTGGCGGCGTTTTCAAATATAGAACGAGCTTCATATGGGATTCCTCCCCTGTAAGCGGAGTTGAGGTGATGAAGTTTTCAATTATATGGCCGTGATGTACCACAAATATAACTGTTCAGATCTTACGTACCATTTTTTGAGGATTTGCCCATCTTCAATTCTGACCTGGCAATTTCTTCATATTCGACTTCAGCGTTCATCTCTATTCCTCGAGTTTTCGAGCCTGGGTCCTGTGAACATATTTTGCTATCAAAATAAGCGTTTGGCAATCTACAACAGGAAACATTGGGACGGACCAATAAGTCAACACTACACCAGGTCAACGTGGATTTGTTGAATTGGACATTGCTGCGGGTCACGGGTATTGAGTCTTCGTCCCACTCAAGTTTCGTGTCGTTCAGATTGCCGCTGATGATTGGGATTGAACGCGCTCTTTCATACAACGTAAAACGTCAAATTAACAGAGAATCACGATATGAATTATCCTGAGGCCTCACTTGTCGTCATCATCTCTGACAAGCCGGTTATGGATGGCTCCTACTCCGATCCAAAATTGCCTGCTGACCATCTCCACTAATTTGACGACGACCTCGTCAGCGAGTTCTTGACCGAATTTGGAGATTGGGAAGATTTGTTTGAACCAGTTTGTGCGTGCTTTTCGTGCTTCAGCAGGTGTAGGAGACTTTTTTCCAGGTACTTTCACTGGCCTGAGTAGAGGAGCAACCGTGAAGGCCAGCTGCAGCGCAACGTTCGCATACATAAAATCTACACCATTCCAGATTGATGACAGTCAGTCGGAGAGATCGAATGAACGGACAACAGATGCGGTCTTTCACTGACCGGAGTGATCGCAGATGACATCAGAAAGTAAACCCCTAAGAAGAAGAACAAAGAGCGAGACCAAAATCTGATGAATACGTGTCTGAACTTCTGAAGTGTGATGTCCCCAGGGGAAAACGGGAGAGGTAAGATATAGAAACTCTACCAACGGGCCAATGACCGAGGGCGACTTGATGAGCTCCTTGTTTTCGGGGCTTGCGCCGCACAATGCCTCGACTGACTCCAAGAGCTGCTTATGCACATGTGACAATCAATCAGCTTCCACTCTTGTGCAGCTACGAGGAAAAGTGTGAAGAGTTGGATATTTCCAGGCAACTCACCGCTCTTGGTACTTTGGCACTGATCTTCGGGGAATTCTTCGACTTATGAATACGCATGACGGACGCAACAAAAGGGAATTGAACAGGTCCCAGAATATCTTTGAAAACAGTCAATTCAGGACTGGAGTCCGTGTCAATGACATGAGTCTAGATGCGATGATTGATGTGATTAGCGTGCCGTTCAGAATACCATCAATAGACAGACAGGCCCAATAACGACTGACCCGAATACCATCGCCAAATGCAGTCAAGAGATCTTCCCATAGACGGCCCAGTTCAACTTTGTCATTGAAGAAGCGCGTGCTCTTTGCACTGAGCTCGCGTGCCCAACAAGCCTCCAGCTCCACTTCGTAGATGTAAGTCACCAAACCAAGTAGAGGTGAGGTATGGATTGGATTGCTATCTTCCTTTGCTTTAATGATGTGAGAACATGGAATTGCGCTGGAGACAAAATATCAGAACCCTCCGGGATGCAGCTGACCTTCAGTCACCCAATTGTTAAGGCGATGACTTACTAGAGAGGCAAGATTCCTTGACGGAAAAAAGAGCAGTACTTTTCCGAATTGGCGACTAGCTCATCACTTCCAAAACCTCGTTCCAACTATTCGTCGGCGTGAAGTACACACGCATACATCGGGATAGGTCAGTGAAGAATGGGTATTTTACTTGAATGGGACGAGAGCCAAATTATATGGTTTTTGAAGAAATGAAAGAACGTACATCATGATCCTTAACCGAAAGCAACAAAGAAAAGAAGTCTTTGAAAGCTTTGGTCTCTTGTGAATTAAAAGACGTAAAGCTCTTGTGAGGAGTATTGAGATCGCCTGGTTTTTTACGTTTGCGATTCAATTTACCAGAAGCTTGAGGATGAGTTGGGGTTTGAAACTCGATGAGGTTTTCCAGTATTTTGCATAGGTCATCTACGGAAATTGGTTGATCTGGATCTTTAGCTGGCGCTTTCTTTCTGCGGCCTGTGACCATGTTGACAAATTGTATACGGGCTTAAGAGACTCAGGTAGTGAATTATAAAAAGTAAGGGATATTGAATGTTTTCTATATAGGTCAAGTTAAAAGGTTGATAATATGGTGACTTGATGAGGAGGACTGACGATTGAGAGAATGGTCAACAAGAATCAGTCAAATCATGATTGAATGAAGTCAGAATGAGATGAATTTCAAACTTATATGTGAATCGAGCCACAACCCGATAAACCCATTCTCTCTCTCTCCTTTCTATGCGGTAGACGCATACAATCAGCCAAATCGAAGAAGATCCGCTTCACGGAGAACTGCATCTAGTCCATTCGTAAGATTTACTTGCCAATTTACTGAAGCAACTTATAGAGAACTTATTCCACCCCATTCCACCCCATATCGAGGCATATGCTAACGTAGATGGAGCTGGTAAGGGAGACGCGTCCCGATGGAAAACCCTATATTTTTATCGGTAGAGACGGTTCTGCCAAAGAGAAGGTTTGGTAGAGCGTTCAGGCCACAGAGTTGACCACAGAACCCTGTGGGAAAGTGGGTCAGCTCTGATCTGCAAGGAGTGACCAGGCGGACTTTGATCATGCTCGTCCGAGTCAGTTGGCGTGCTTGCGTAGCAGCGGGAGCGTAAGATACTATGATTATTTCGCACTATATGTTGCAGACTTGGAGATCAAAGGTATGGACTTCATAATCATCATTACCTACGATAGACAAACTCTAACAAAAAATGTATTGATATCTTGTCTAACGTCCGCTTTTCAATAACACAAAACAACAAGCGCTTCGATTAATCAAGAGCTTACAGCGTTACAAGAACAAACAAAGAAAACTCAGAGGTAAAAAAAAACTACTGATAAATAGTGATGATAATGATAACGATAGTGGAAACAATATGCAACAAGCGCAAACCCGAAAACAGCAATAAAGATGTGACCGTGTAGTACCGAAGAGAAGAAAAGACCAAAAAGATACAAAGGTAGTGAAATACATAAATGACACGCCAAAGGAGCTAAGAGTAAAAAAGATACTTATGGATGACGGAGTGGGTGTACGGGATAAATCTAGCTCTATAAAATGAAAGTCTAGAGTCTAGAAGAAAAACTTTTCTTCTTTTGGTTTTGAATCGCACTCAAACACTTTTCATTGACCCTTGAGAATGGCTTTCGAACATCAGCTGAGCTAGGACCACTGTTCGATGACATCTGAGTAGATTGAGTAGGGAGGTATATCTCAGAATGACCGCGTTCCTCGATGTTGCTGCTGAAGACCCAAAGAAGTGGTACAACTACCAATGACAGTAAGAAGAGACAAAAGAGGAATCCAAGAATGAAATACATGAACTCTGATGACCTCGTCAAAAGTCTCTCCAGTGTAGGGTAGCGATTCAATAAGGATGTGAAGTTGACGTTCACATAGACGACACTGAGGTAGGTAACAATAAGATGAATCGCCGCGGTTTTCTTGAGGTAATTCAGTGGAGCTCTTGGGTTGGGTGATGTTCGAAGAACGAGAAGACCGAATGCAAGCTTGAGCGTGATAAAGCAAATGATAAGAAGAGGGATAAAGGTTTTCATCGACGTCGATTGACCAATAGCAACCAGGGGGTTCGGTAGGAAGCTGCAATTGGGTGGAAGGTCCACGAAGTCCGACAGCTTGCCAGGTGGTAAAATCGGATAATCGGCCAAGGCCACAAAGCGCGGGTCGGCATTATGGATTGGTAGGCAGAACATCACTTTGCCGTCGGCTCGATAGGCCGGTGGAATTGACGCCACAGTGTCACGCAGATTGATCAAGTTGTCCAGTGCGATTCGGCACAGACCAAACGATAATAGGCAGTCGATAAAGAGACTGAAGATGATATGGCTAACTCGGGGTCGACTAAAGCCCTCTTCCTCCGCGAGACGACCCGGAGCATCAATAGAAATGTATGTGGCATCACTCTTCTCTTCCTTGTCGCCAAAGATAATCTCGCTCGTTAATGGGGACGATACACGAGGGCGCCAGTGAGGGGGTCGAGGTTGTGAAGCTTGTGCTCGCTGACGACGAGAGTGCGAAAGAGGTCTCGGCATTGCCTATGGTGAAGTAGCAGGGAGATCAGTTCTCTGAAAGGTAGCATTATCCCGGTAAAGAAGTGCATGACTTACTGGTAATGCGTTCGAAGTTTGCAAAAGACGGTGTTCAGAGCACTATGATGCTATTTCGATCCAAAGATGGATAGAGATAGGTAGTGGCCGTGACGTCTGAAGGACGTAAAAGGCAAGGCGGTGAGAGTCTGAAATGAAGGTCAGGCGATGGAAGATAGAAAGCAAAACTTACCTCGAGGAGTAAGGAAATGAGGACAGTAAAAATGTCTTCACAGGGAATGCTATGTAGAATAATCAAGTTTGGTGATATGCAAGTGATTCAAAGGCTAAACGGGTCTTTGAGTCTGCGCTTCAAGATCGGAACGAGCGAGCGAGACTGACGTCGAGGAGATAAGATAAAAAAGATGTAGCGAGTGCGCCCGAGTTGGACGAAGAAAGAACAGGAGATGATGGAAATTCAAAAGCTTTACGCAGTGGGCCATCTCAGCCGCATTCGTCGTATATAGAGGCTGGTCCCAGTGAAAATGGACATAGGATGTCATGCACCGATTCATGAAATAGCCAGCCCAATGCTAAAAGGGACAATGCGTAAATGAGTGATTAGGGACCTGATCCGTAGACATTCCTGATGCGTAGATGCTGCACTCAACTTTTTAATCAGCTGCAGCGCCGGAAAGAGCTGAGAGTGAAATCGATAGTAAGAAGGCCGCAATCAGGTATGTACTGAATCAGCATGAGCCCCGCTCGCTCGGGAGCGGGGACCGGCGAAAATCCACCCCGAGCACTTTTTGGAAATGCATCCCGGCTTCCGAGCCGACCCCTCCCCGTCGGGGATCTTCATGTACGTCTTCAGACCGCCCCCCGCCACCGAAAATCGGGGGCCTACCGAAATATCGGTTCCCCGTCGGTTCCCCGTCGAGTGTTAGTCGGTAGAGCTTGCTAGATCAAAAAAATTCATAAATCTGCTTCACGAGCAAGTTCCGGCTGATATTCTACTGTTTCGTACAGGTATTTCATTGTATTTGATTCCTTATACTGATGTATGAGTTGTTACGAGGCCTTCCTCACCTTTCATTTCTCCCTATCTGCCCTCGATTCTACAGCTCTCTGCTATAGCTCGGTTCCCCGATAAAAACCGGGGATCCTCATACTCTTGCCCGGTCCCCGCTCCGTCGGAGTCGGTACGGTGCCGGGGGGCTGAGATACCTAGCCCGAGGCACCGTACCGACGGTACGGAAGCCGGAGATCCCCGAGCCCGCGGGAAACGGGGCTCATGCTGAGTACTGAATGGTCGAATCCATTATAGGCAGGTACCAATCGGGAGCTCACAGTCAATGCCACAACCGGCTTGGTCACTCTGATCAGTCTCTTTGATAATTCATCAGACGCGTTTGTCGGAGCCTGAGATGATATGATAGAGCTGTGATCGCGAGGAGGAAACTTCATCTCCAGCTATGGAGACTCATTTTGAGCGGTGATGAAACATATTGCAACAAAGATAAAGATATGTAAGATGATGATAGCATCTGATAGCATCATGGCCAACTCGATGTATGTAGGTAAAACGTTGTTGATGATCGTCTTGTAATTCTACACTTCATGTGTTCCCTTTGATTGAACACTGTAACTTGTCGTGTTCATGCCTTTTGTTGACTGAAGCTGACGAAAGTTCTGGTTAGCCAATCACATCGAAAGTTTTCTTCAACACAAAACATGATGCGAGTCGAGCGACCAGAATCCGGGGCGCGACTTGGAGAGCTTCGAACATTTTTAGACGAATGCTATGAAGAATTGGATGGCGATGAATTCGAAGAATACTCGCTCCGAGTGGTGACCACTCTCAGTCGTCGCGATGCCTATGCGCCTGAAACGATGGACATGATCGCTCATTTCTGTGCCGTAAGCTTGAAAGATTGATGCAGAGAGATTTTGAAAGATTGAATACAACTGATGCCGGCCCGTTCTTCAGCGTGTGACCAAAATCGTTGAGGCTTGTGGAACTCATGAATCCGATGTTAGGCAGATTCAAGCCTTATCGAATGTACTTCATATTGTGGAGGAGAATTTTATGGTTCCTCAAGCTGGTTTGACTCTTAAAGAATCTCGGCGACTCCGGCAGCGTGGTCAAGATATACAAAGGTACTGCAAGGAAGCTCGCAATAAGGTTGAGAGCATTTCGAACAAGTCTGTCAAGATAGTCACAAAACCAGCATCTCGCCGACTACCTTCAAGGCCATCATCAACTTCGCTGCCACGTCCATCACCTGTTACATCACGTCCAGCTGTTAAATCACGTCCATCACCTGCGATATCACGTCCACCACCGCAGATAACACGTCCACCACCTCAGATATCACACTCACCATCACAGACACAGCTAGCACCTTTGTCAACGCGTTCATCACCTTTGATCCCACGCCCCTTGTCCTCAACGTTGAGCCGATCAAGTTCGAAAGCCCTTCACTCACCTTCAGTCGTTGAGTCAGCCCAGTCAGAACCCTCTTTGGTGCTCGATGATCCAGTCAAGGTCGAGGAAGTGGAGTCAAATGATATCAATCGTGAAACTATTCCCGAGGTTTACGATATCTCGGATGATGATGATGATGATGATGATGAGCTAGAAGATGACAATCGAGAAAGCACGGATATGGATATCGACAGTGAAGATGATCTTGTCACTGAAGATTCGCTATGGACCGCACAAGATAACATCATACCTTGGTTCAAGATTAATGGGAGTCAACTTCCCCATATTTTGACCTTTTTACTCGATCCAACTCACCTATGTTTCACCCAGTTAGTTGTTCAATTATGTGTCTTTATGTCTGAGCCTATTGTTGCTGTTGTTGTTTTCACTTATCTGTTCTGACTGTTGACAGGACTTCATTGAATGTTGATGAGGAAGATGAAGCAAAGCAAATCTCGGTAGAGCTTGTATTATTCATCAAGATTGTTGCAGATGCATTGTACATTAGTGATCTTGGATTTCAACTCTGGATCACGGATGTTGATTGTGACCCTCCTGAATTATTCTCTCAAGATACGAATCAGTCGCTGTACTGGATCATCCTTCCTAGAGCGAGCATCAAACCCGGTCGTAAGTTTTTTATCCCTTCTTTTACCTTTGAATACACCACTGTGTGTATATTGAGCAAATCTTGACATCAGGAAACAGCCTAGAGTGCACGATAAAATTCAATTCCTCAACCCACGACCCGCATACTGAGATGTCATTAGACAGAGTGGTGATGTGCTCCATCAAGCAAATGACAGAGATCGTTTTGAAAAATAAGTGTTCTCCTGTAAGCACTCACGGTTTAATTGACAACTTTCAGCAGAAAGGTCAGGAAGTCCTCACTCTTCTGGATCCCATAAGTCAAAAACTGATCAAAGTCCCGGTAAGAGGAAATGGATGTGATCATCTAGAGGTCAGTTTTTTTGTAAATTTTTGGTCAGAGATTTTGAATTGAACAAATGTCAATTTGTCACGATTTTGTAGTGTTTTGATTTGAACACGTTCCTGAAAGATAATCAAGGTGCTAGGGGTAGATGGAAATGTCCTGTGCTGGGATGTATTGAAACATGTAAGCCTGGATCACTTTGGGTAGATGAATGGGTGGCTAACAACATTGAGATTGCTCGGTTAGTGTCTTTGACTCCCTTTCTTTGGTGTGGATCTGCTGAACAATATGTTGATTTTGACCTGCTATTATTAATTTGTCATCAGAAACGGTGGACAAGATAAGATGTTGGTTCCATCAACTATCTTAGAGGATGATGTGGGTGATGATGTGGACATCAAGCCTGAAGTAGATGTGGACATCAAACCTGAAATCTGATGAAATCAGCAATCAGAAGGGGCTCAAGTCAGACTTCACATAAGTCAAGTCATGTAGAAGTTCATGGTCACCTGGAGCCAATGTTCAAGAGACTTGCACACTAAAAAGCATGTCTTGCTTGGAAAATATTTTGAAAAGGCAATTATATCCCACCTCTGGACAGAATCCAACCTCTTGTGTGTGGTCAAAAGACATTAAAAATGTTGCTACCCTCTGGGCTAAAAAACTCTTGATTGACTTTGAACTTTGCGGTCCTCTGTGCATTACAAGGTCAACCATATGAATTTGAACCTGTACCAGACTGTTTGAGCTTAAGAATGTAGTACATTAGGTTGCAGATATTTTTGGCTGCAAACAGTTGTGGATCAAAATATCATCTTTCATCCGGCGAGTTCATGATTCTTTCAGCATCCCTTCAGGCTTCAGTTCTAGAATTGCCTTCCAGATTGTAAACCTGGAGCCCCGGGGTAAAAAAGTAAATGAAACGTCGGTTGATCCGCGGGTTGGGTTTCCTGTCCCGAGTCCCGACAATGCAACGATCGCTGACATCATCGATGGATCGAGGGCCGAGGCTGAGCCGTCACTTTCCGTTTCAAAACAACAACCACTTCGAAGGGAATCAAGACTTATGAGATTTATGCAAACGAACAAAGATGTCATCGATCGCTCATAAAAGGAGAATCTTAACTTACGCTACCGTAATCCTTCCACTCCTCGCTCTTGTTCGATATCGACAATCTCAATTAAAACGAAATCGCGATCGAAAATCACTTACAAATCAACCTCAAACTCCCGGATTCCTTTCCACACCTCAATATGAGTTAGCTCAAAGAGAAATGTTTAAGCTTAGACCTGACGGGGTTAGAGAACTTTTAATTCCTCATCGTGGAAAACTTAGAAAGGTTAATCTTAGGCCTACTAAACCTGAGTTGATTAATCAACATGCCAAAATTTTTGTGGCTCCCAAAACTTCTATTGGTGCTCATCAAGGGAAAAAATCTGTGGGAGTGAATCGTGAATTCTTCAGACGTACGTATTTTTGATTATCCACAATATCAGCTTTTATCATTGATCGTCCTAAGGACAGATACTAATTTTTGTTACCCACTGGATGTTTTATAGAGTTGAAGTGTATCTTTATGATTATCTTTCCAAGAACCACATCGAAAGAAATCTTTATGCTCATCATACACACTTTTTTCTTATTGATGAGAACTTATCTTTCTCTTCTGGTCGCTAAATTGGATGGTATCATAGTCCGTGACCTCGTCACTGCTGACCTCAAAGGGTTTGCCAAAGGATTGGTTTATTGGTATCTGCTTGCGATACCAAGTACTTATACAAACTCCATGGTTGGCCTGACTTGCTCACTTCTCTTCCGGCGTGAACTAACATCTCACATTGTGGTTTCAAACAGATTCGATTCCTTCAATCCAAACTTGCGCTCTCCTTTCGAACCCGTTTAACACGTTATGTTCACGATCTGTACCTTTCGCCATCTCAAACGTTTTATAAACTCATCAATTTGGACACAAGGATCGAAGCTGCCGATCAGTTCATCACTTCAGATATTGCGAAATTTTGTGAATCACTCTCTTCACTTTATTCCAACATTTCCAAACCAGCTTTGGATTTGATCTTATTTAATTATCAACTTGGAAAAAGTATTGGAAAATTGGGTTCGGCTGGTTTAGTGATCAACTATATCTTAACGGGTTGGATCTTACGACAGATCACTCCAGCCTTTGGCAAATTGAGTGCAGTAGAGACCAAACTTGAAGGCGATTTTAGATTAACTCATACACGTCTCATCACCAACGCTGAAGAGATCTCTTTCTACAATGGAGCAGCATTAGAAAAAGATATTCTCAATCGAACTTACCTTCGTTTGATAAGACATGTCAACTCGATCTTCAAAATCAGGATAGCTTATGCGATGGTAGAAGATTTAGTCATCAAGTATGCTTGGAGTGCGGTCGGTTATATGCTCGTTAGCATTCCCGTCTTCTTTCCCAAACAGATCAAAGCCATTGCGGGGACAGCTGGTTCAGCTAATGAGTACCCCTCGGTTGCGAAACGAACGGAGTGTGAGTCTCTATCCAAGATTACTGTTTTGTAGTTTGTTGAAATTTATTCATTAACTGATCTCAATGTGACACGCGCACATATCCACCAGCTTACATCGCCAATAGAAGGTTGATGCTCTCGCTTGCAGATGCAGGTGGAAGAATGATGACCTCAGGAAAAGATCTTGCCGAATTAGCTGGGTATACCTCTAGGGTTTATACTCTTCTGTCTACCCTACATGATTTACATCAAGGCAGATACGAAGTGAAACGAGAAGGAGACAAGGCTCAACCTTATGAATTAAGCTGTATCAATGGTAGAATGGTGGAAGGAGAAGAGGATGTGGTCTCCTTTGAACATGTGCCAATTGTGGTACCGAGCTTGGTTCCAGACCGTGGTGGTGAAGTCTTAGTGCGTGACTTGAATTTGAAGATCAAGAGGGGCGATCATTGTCTAATCACAGGCCCAAATGGAGGTTAGTGATCTCCTCATCATGCTCACATCATCAGCCTGAGCTCATGGATTTGAACATTCACAAACATCAAGTCGGTAAAACGTCGATTGCCAGAGTCTTGGCTGGTTTGTGGCCTTGTTTCGAAGGTATAGTAAAGAAACCAAGAGCAGGTGACATCATGTACCTACCGCAACGACCTTACCTAAGCCTCGGGTCTTTGAGAGATCAGTTCAGTGTTTCTGAGGTATTTGTTTTTTTTTGAGTTTTAAATGACTGATACCGTCATATTGAAAACAATTGTAGGATCATTTATCCCCACAGCTTCCCTGAATTTCAAGCGATGGGAGGTACGGATGAAGAATTGATCAAGATCCTCGAGTGCGCACATTTGGCTTATATTCCTGCACGTGAAGGAGGTTTTGATACGGTGAAAGAATGGAAGGATATTCTGAGTGGAGGTGAAAAACAAAGAGTGCGTCATTCTCCTGCCCGACTTTAGGTCCTTCTGTGCTAAGATTCATTTGCTGGGTTTGTTTACTTTCGTAGATGGGGATTGCAAGATTATTTTATCATTCACCACGGTTTGGGGTTATGGATGAATGCACATCAGCTGTTTCAACCGACGTAGAAGGATTAATGTATGAGCATGCTAAATCACTTGAGATCACACTTATTACGATTAGTCATAAACCATCCTTGGTGAAATATCATGAAAGAATGGTAAGATTAAGTCCAGATGGAGATTGGACGATTGAAACGATTGGATCAGAAGAAGAAAAGAGAGTGACGATGGATAAAGAGATGGAAGAGATTAGAAGAAAATTAGATGGAGTAGGTGATTGGAAAGTTCGATTAGATCAAATTGCTATTGAACTTGCTTTTCGTAAGTAAGATGATCTAGATTTGATAGTGAAGATAAACATTTCTTTTACGCATTTTTTAGTTTTGATGATATTGCATGATCGAATTGGTTTCATATTTCTCCATTCTTTTGTAATTTGATCTTCTTTTGTTATTATATTATGTATGAATTATGTACTTACAACTAATGTTGTGGCCAGAATGAAGTAAAATTAGAATATAATAACACCGGAGGAGACAGAATCCGTTTCCATTATACAATCTTCATGGAACTATCATGTTACCTCCAAGAACAGACTTGGCATACGAAGTCTTGAGGTGGGAAGCTAAAGATGAAAATAAGGTGAATCTTGTATTGAGAATTCAGCGCAATATGCTGTCCTTCTCATGAAGTTGTTATCTAAGATATGTGGTTGACTTTGGGTTCAATGGCGTAATCTTGCACCCCTCATCGACACATGTTCACATATCTCATTTCTTTTGTTGAAAGCTTTTTGTTCCTTTTCAATTGCGACGTCGATCATATCCAAGATGTTTCTGATCCCAAAACTGTTGTTTTTCAAAGTACAGAATGCCTTTGGCGGGGCCAAAGAACCGCGCTGAACTGGCCCCGGGGCTAAATCTCTTTCCAAGCAGTGCAGCCAGTTGGTAGTTGCTTGGACAACACTTCACCAGATTCAAAACAAGACTTCCACTTCCATCCCGATGGTCATTCAATCTAATTCATCAAAATCACCTATCAAAACATCTACTGAATCTAGGCTTCTACTACGATCATCATGGGGTGCATCTTTACCTTCAAATGTTCCGGATGACTCACTGGATGATGAGATAGCGAAGATATTGTTAAAGGAAGCTAAAGAAAAAGAATCCCGATGGAATGCGACGTCTTCAATCGGATTTTCATCTTTCCTGAAGCGGGATGAGTCAGAGTAAGTGTTTGAATATGATCAAGGTCTTTTCCTCCACACTTCCCGTGTTATCGGAACTCTTATAATGGATCTTCTATTCGTGGGCATAACTTTTGATTCGTAGGTCAAAGACTGGCCCTCGACAGACAAACAAAAGGTTCTTGAAATCTGTAATTAGAGACGTCAATGATCACAATAGGAGTTTACTTCACAAGAATTCAGATCATAATTCTATTGAGAACTCTGAGCAAGAGCATCAACGTCTACGAGACTCCGGCCGGATCCAACAATGGGATAAACGACCCTCTTCTCCGAGATCTTCATCAAGGAACGATGCACCACACCGGAGTCAGACCACTGTATCAACTACCAAGGGTGATCGTTCAAGCGGCAAAGTTCGCGGTGTAGACTTGGAGCGATTGATACTTCAGGGAGGAAGGAGCTCCAAAGGTAAGGAACGCGCTATAAGATCGGAGGAGGATGTTGATGTTGATGAACAGGAGGAAATGAGGAGACTTCGAGCTACTAAGCGCGGTGGGCATCGCGATGACCGTGAAAAGGCTCTTCGCCGGGAACTTCTCAAAGCCCGTGACCCGACGCTTCCCACCAGGTGTGTCACCAATCAAGCTAATGATCTCAAACTTTCTGACCATTCTTCACTAACACGGCTCCTTTCCCTGGCTGTAGTCAAACAAACAGGCCAACCTCCGTTTTGGGCCAGAAAGAAGATCCGCAAGAAACTAACGGACTCGAAGCTTCCAGCTCAACAGTTGCCCAACCGAGCTCGAAAATGGACAAATATTTCTCGCCAGCATATGACCCTCGTCTTGATATCTCACTCGAAGAACTGACCGATAACAAGACTGGTCTGATCGCAGAAGGAGTCTATGACGATTGGGATCAAATACTGAAACAATTCAAAGATCAAAAGGAACAAAAGAGAAGAGAAAAGGAACGGGAGTCCGAGGAACGTCGTGAGCGAAAAGAACGACGAAGAAAACGACGAGAAGAACGAACGCGTAGACGTCGCGAACGAGAGAAACAAGAAGGTGGCAGTGACAGTGATGAACATCCGAAGAAATCGAGAAGATCAAGAGCGTATACTGACGCATGCGAAGAGGAAGAGGATTACAAGTCACGTCGGTCTAGGCGTAAGCGGGTCAAGCGATCGTCCAGTCACAGTTCTTCCAGTGAGAGTAGTGATCAGAATATCTATAAGACGACTCATGCTCAACGAACGGCACGGAAAGAGCTCGGTTTGATGGACATTGATGGCTACGCCAAACGTGGCAAGATCCGTGAATGGGACCTTGGCAAGGAAAACCCCACTTAATTTTTGTTTGATCGACTTTTGCCACTTTGATACCATCAGTTTTTGCTATTATTCGCCAGTTGTAAATGGCTTGTATCATCATTTTCATTCATTCATGACTTTCGCGTCTCACTTGTGGTCACTGATCCTGTAATTCAACTTTCGCGAAGGACTATGATTCATAAGTCACAGGAAGGTAGAAGCTGTGATTGGTTTTCGTATAATAAATCAATGTCATTTAGCTTTGGGTGTCTTTGTCGCGCTGTTATTCATTTCAGTGCTGCAAGTCTTTGTAAATGCCACCTTGTCACAATCCAAGCTATCAGCTGTTGTATAATTTGATTCTCTTGTTGGAATGAGCTCTTCCAAAGATATACTGGCATCGAGAACACGTTCAATGTGCCCGGTCCTCGCACTACAGCACCCAAAGTTTGCAAGCAATGTACACATGAGGTCCAACCACACATCGAATTCGTCGCAGCCTCAAGGTGAGCATTGGTTACTACACATGCTCTGATTGTTCCATGATTAAGTGTTGAGACACACAATAGTCTTTGTTCAGCGCACACGAGGACCATGTCTGAATCTCATTCAGAGTTTGTATGCCTGCCAGAAATGCCACGTTGATCCACCTTGAGACAAAAGTCGAGCAAATTGTGGTCGAAGGTCCAGCCCCCTTGAGGCTTTCGATAAGGATGTGACAAGATTCGGGGGTTTGGTATATTGAAAGTGATGTAGAATGTTCCAGGAAAGCCTCAGGAGACTCAAAAAGTCTACAGGGTAGACCTTTTTTTACTGACACTTCTACTCTGTTGATAGATTTCAAGTCTGACCCCTTCCTGCTTTTGAAAAATTTTGCAAGCATATAACAAGACCGTAAAGAAAGACTCACAGAAACAGCAATGAAAAAATCTGTAAGGTTATCAAGCAAATATTTACCTTCAGTGCAGGGGTTGACTAGACACCAACACCGGCAGATCTGGGCTATATAACTGGATTGCAACTTGAGGACAGATAGGATGGCCAGAGGAAGAGTAAAAAAAGTATAAAGATAAACAGATGGATGGCAGCATTGACTACAAGACTTAGAATGAAAACATTGGACAAGAAATACTTTTTTTCTATGGAGATGACTACTCCTTGATTCTTCTTCTTCGCGATGAGAAAAAGGGACTCATGGGAGAAAGAAAACAGGACATATAGTAGTCAACCGAATGGCAAAGCACAATTGTCGAGATCGTTGGATCACAATCGTCCTTCAAACCTATGTATCCATCTCTGCTATCTAGAAGTCATTTTCATCACAGAAAAGGCGTGAAAATGAAATTTTGCCTCTGACGAGATTGGAACCCTTTTTCACATAACTTCACCACCGGAGTCCTTGAGAAACCATCATACGCTCCAGATGCTACTGCAAGAAACGAATCATACTACCATTGTTTTACACGTGTTCTATATGTCGAAGCTACTCATAGTTGAACATGAATGAGTTTATAGAGATTTATTGTGTGGCGGTTATACTTCTTGTCATTTACATTATTAGTTGCCTCTTGGTGACTGTCTGTCTGTCTGCAGCATCGCTTTCGCCCTTGTTTTCCGCCGCGTGTTTTTTGAATTTCTGATATCCCTGCGAGTCAAGAAAGTGTACCAAAAGATGTTTGACCTGGCACTGGATCTTGGTTGGTTGAGAAAGGCATACAAGACCTTGCTAATGGAATCCTCTTTGCCTACATCCCATATCGATGGGTTTTGAGGTAAAAATGAATTTACGAAATATGAAAATCCGAATGCACACTTGTATACTCCATCAAAGATTTGAGTTGAACTTTCTTTTTTATTATCTTGACTTTCTGGTAAGATGAGCTGGTTCAAAGTCCCCCCATAAGCCATGATCTGTTCTGCTTTACTGTTCCAATCTTCCCAAAGACCAGCCACCTGTGTGAGACTTTGTTGATATATGAACTGTTTCTTCATATCTTTCTCCCATGCTTCAATGAACTTGCAAGTGAAATATTTACTATGTTTGTGCGTCAAGCAAGTCAAGCTTGATTTGATCTGATCGGGACCCCGTAGTTCCAACAAGAGGCGAGCCACTGGATGTGCATCTCTGATCCGCCCAAGCTCTTGAGCCTGTTCATGTTCTTTTCCCATAGAGGAATTGAAGATGAGTCGGGGACTTGTGATCTGATGGAAGATGTCTGTGGTCCAAATAAAAAAGCTGTAAAGACTCTTGTAATCTATCTCATTATAAGGTGACAAGAACTTCTTATGGTAAGTTACAAAAAGGCAAGCAGCGTATCTCATTGACCTACTTGATATCTCATGATGAGAAGCATGAGAGATTGCAAAATACACAAAAGGGATAATGGTTTTGATATTCCAAATCTTTTTGGCTTCATCAACTTCAATGGATCCCAGTTGAACATCCAGATAATCATGAATGATGTACAGGAAATATTTTGCAAGATGATTTGTGGTGTGTGAAAGTGTCTTATCTGGTATGTGTGAATAGAAATCTGGAATAGAGATGATTGGACTGTCTGACAGTTTTGATATATGTTCTATAGCACCATTGCTCGACTCTTGTTTATTTCTTTCAAGTTCCGTATGGATCTCAGCAATGTTAACAGCAGGTTGGGTCTTATCTGCATTCAATTGTGGTATATCTTGATGTATGCCTTGTGAGGTCTTTTGGGAAATATCAGTGTCACATGACATTTGGAACCATGATACATCAGATATCTCCTCTTGTGCTGCAAAATTTGAATCTTCTTGGTGGGTTTTTTTAGAAGTTAGTCCCAAAAATTGAGATGAAGAGGAATGAATATCTGGCAAAATTGGGGTGAGGATAGGCTCCAAAGAGGACCAGAGTTCTTCATAATCTAAATTTGAGTCTTCAGATAGTGTGTGATGTGCCCCAGTGATTATGTTTTGTTCTGTGCATGCAGTCCACATCATTGTAAGACCCTTGGTCATTACTTAAACACCAAGTACAAACACTTAATACAAAACTACTTAGACCTAAATTAGATTCATATATATTTGTTTTTCACATCTCATCTCGAATGGTTCCTTAGAGATATCGGGACTAATCATCCGCCCTCTATCCTTCGGAACCAGGTATGAGAACAGTTTTCTTTCATTCTTTATTTCTTTCTATCTTTTATCATCTTATTGTAGTCGAGAGATATCGGGACTAATCATCCGCCCTCTATCCTTCGGAACCAGCTGGTTTCTCGTAGGCTTTAGTAATTAAAGATTAGATCTCTTGGGTTCTAGAAAACCCTACCGCTGTGCCTCACAGCGTCCCGTCCGAAGTATCCAGTGAAGGTTCTCATCGAACCTTACAATCATTGTGACAGAGAAACCCAAGACCAAATAAGCAGATGCTCTAGGTATAAAAAAATGATTGGTCATGGTTGATTGAACTCTGACAGGATCTGAGATATCTTTGAGACATACAGCTGGAAGGGATGGTTGGATTGGACCAAAAAAGGGGATATTAAAAATCTCTTTCACTTCAAAATTCACTCTTATTGTCCAACATCACCATAGGAAACAGCAACCTCAAACCCTACTGCAGAATTTGAAACTTGTGTGACAAAATGAGATATCTCTGCTGGAACAAAACTGTGCACCAGCATTTTCCATGTGATTGTAGGCCAAAGAGTTGAAGGCTGTGTGAAGCACAGCAGTGGAAAGAGAAAGGAAAACTCTTGAAGCGCACTACCCAAATTGTGAAGTTTATTTCTTTAGGATATGTTTTGTCCTGCATGTTGATGTTTCACACATCACTGACCATTGGTTGAACAAGCGGAAAAGGTGAATTGGACTCAGTCAAAAGAGAGGCAATGAGGTCCATTTATAGAAATGAAGCTTGTCAATCTCATGTCCAATCTTCACATCCAAGCTTGAAGCTCAAGATTCCAAACAATCTTCACCACTTTCTGTTGAAAACACAATGAAATTCTGCTGTGTGTAATTCAATGTGGTAGTGCATCCAGAAAAGGTATGTCAGCTTGTTGCACATCAGAGGCCTACACAGTATCCTGCTGCAAATGCACCACAGGTCACACAGTCCTGTCAAGGTTTCCTAACTCCTAGGTGGCCTCATTGAGTGTCTTTGAATAGAGCTTGACAAGTTTTGGGAACATACTTGCCTTGGAATTCTTTGAGGAAATAACAGTGGAAACATCAATGTCTGAGCTCAGACCTGATGCAAAGTTTGTACAAGACCTGGACAGGAGAGCAAGGTTTTCCAATCTTTTAGGAAATGATGAACTTAAAATACAAATAAAATGGGTTGGGCTCATTATCTCATTTCAGCATTTCAGGAAAGGAGAGAGAACTTTAGAGTATTTCTATGATATTCAAGTGGGTTCAAGGTGAGTTGTTGTAGATACATATCTGGTGTATTGAATCTTGACATGACTACATCAACACCCAACACTAGAGAGAATATAATGGAATGATGGCTCTAGTGAGCAAAGGATCATTTTGATAGTGGCTGAACTTTGGACTTCTTGTTCAGGACAAAGAAAAGAGACCCAAAGGAGAAAAATGATAGTTTTGAATTCAACTCCAGTTGAGATGTATGATCCCAGTGCTGACATTTGGGAGCCAGTATCATCTCGACAAATGGACCAAAAAATTACCATTTACATGATCTGAAGAGTTATCAAGATACATTTGCTATAATGAAGTAATCTGAACTCCAGGTGTTGTAAAATGTATAACCCCACAAGGATTACACAGAGCATGAAGAGTATAATCTACTCATAATATAACTTTCAGAAATTGTCCATGGACTACTTTATTATAAAAAACAACAAAAGAACTTTGTTGATTAACTGCTGATAAACAACCAAAGAGAAAATCAACAGTATCACTAAAACACTAGGATCAGGACTTTTGAACACAAAGTCACCCAGATATTTTCAAGCAAACAGCCATGTAGGATTCACTATGGATTGGGTGGAGATGTGATTTCTTGTGATACAATCAATACCAGAGGCAAAGGTTTGTAGATACACTTCCAGCATTAAACACTCTCCCAATTGGAATAAGGTATTTTTTTGCAATAATCAATGAGCATTTATATGTCAATGATCACTTATTCCAAAAAAATGAAAAATTATTCCAATTGGGAGGGTGTTTAATCCTGACAGTGACATGATAACAAATAATTAAATATGCTTACCTTGCAACAGATAGAAGTATGAGGCCAGGGAATGGAGAATATTTGACTTGAAGTTAAGTACTGATAAAAAAGCTACAGTTTTTTTGGAAAATTCAATTTTTGCAATCTTCATATCCTGTATTATTGCTATGAAGCCACCTGCATATGATATCAAAAATGTATCATTTGGCTGAATATGGCTCAGGTAAAGGGTGTAGACATTTCCCATAATGGAGTCTTTCAGCCAATATGGTATGCTCTATAATTTCATAGGTCAAGGAATATAGCTCAATGGAAGGGAACAAATCAATGGGCAAACCCAAACTCTTCATCAATGATGAACATTGCCATCTAATGAACAAGATGAAATGGACACAAATCTCAGCTATTCACCAGCTTAATACCAATTCAGCTATATTATTGAAACGTTTGCCATCTGACGTCCCTTGAAAAACCTGGGCTTGGACTCTTGAGATGACAAGGTCATGCTGTTCTGGAATGATCAGGATGTTCAAGACCTGCTAGAGTCTGTACAGCACCGTAAAAATTGCACTATAGATCAAATTCCTCAAGAATATGCTAGAAGTGCATGGTCTCATCTGGATCAAGGTGCGTTTACCAACAGTATGCTTAAAGATCCAACTTTTGGAATGACCAAGATTACTTTGTCAAGTTTATATGGTTGGCTCCATCTCTGGAGCTCAATCCAGTTGGCATTATCTGGTCAGACTTTTAACATGAGGTCTCAGCTGCCCACTGAAAACCATGTCTACCATGACAGCTTATGCATTTAAGCCTGTACCTCCTGAGAATCTCAAGTGTTTGCTATCTTGTATTCTTGGTGGTATCAAAGCTTATCTTGGAGACAAGGAGAGATCAACACCTTTGCTTAATTGACTCATATCTTTCTTAAATGACAAGGTATGTTAATTTCCTCATACCTCCTGAAAGACCAGAGGCTTATGATTATCTTCATCTATTTACATTAGTAAATCATATGGATTATCATTATTTTTAAGAAATCTTAGGGAAGAAATCATGTTTATATTTTTTATTTTCAGAAAATTGAAGATTTTTGATCACTCAATGTACAATGATTGAAATGCTACAATTGATCCAGTCTAGTCACGTCCACGACTGCTCTGCAAAAGCAAAGTTCAGTTACACAACGTTATACACACAACCCCTATAAATAAATCACATGTAATAACACTACGCCAGATTGCAAATTTACCGCTGAGTTCAGAAAATTAGGAGAACATAGAAAATTATACACACGGCAGAAGGGGTCAGAAAAATATGAAAAAATAAGGGTTGTATACCCCTGCATGTGCCTATCATTTTGCATATTTTTTCATGTTTTTATGGCAGCAATGTATATCAGGTCAGAAACCCAGCTTTTGTCCAAAACTGGCACTTATTTAGTCATTAATCTTAAATTTTCAATTTTGGTTCACCATATGTAATGTCTTTGCATTCTGAATGCTGGATGTTTGATTTAAAATGTACACATTGGAATGGGCAGTATGTGTCCAAAAATGACTAAGGTACAGCAATCACAGTCCCCATCAGCAAAGCAAGAAAAGCTTATAAATATTTGCCGCAATGGTTTTAGCATCTAAATCAAAATTTTAGATCCTGGGTGTGGCTTTCATAATTTGTGACGACCAAATTGATTGGAAAAAAATTGGTGTCTTTGTGAATATTCAAACATTTCTGCCCAAACCTTGGTAGTTTTGGACATAATCTGGGTTTCTGACCAAATATACCCCAACATCATTTTTCTTTGAAACATCTTCAACACTAAAGGTAAAAATATGAAAAAATATGCAAAAGAAGGAGACATCACAGGTGGATTCAACCATAATCTTCCAATTTTTTCCAACCCCTTAAGCATTGCTCAGATTTTTCTTCATTTTGACTTTTCTAAAATCCATGGTAAATTTTTGATTTGGTGTAGTGTAAGTCATTTTTGGGTTAGGAGTAGGGTGTAAGTATGAGAAATGACTTGGCTAGTGAATCTGATTGGCCAATTTTTTTTCAAAAAAAATTGTGTTTCCCCAAACTCCAATATTTGGGTCCGGGTACCTAACTGGCCTAATATTAAGTACTTAAGTACTTAACTTAAGGCCTCAACTGCCTAGCCTAGGCGCCCACGCATTTATGTGTCCACTTAAGTACCTTATGAGCAGCACAAGCATGGCTCAGCACAAGCAACCCTCAGCGCAAGTTCTGCTCATCACAATTCATCAAGTACATAACAATGGTGGGTTGCGTACATAGAGATGAAGAAATGAGACAGAAGATGCAAAAAAGATGAAAACAGCAAGATAAGACAAGAAAAGCCCTCTGAGGGTTACACATCATGCCAAATCTCATGATGGTGTTTTGTGGTATGCATCAATGCAAGCAGTATATCTTGGTCAATTTTTCAGTTGGTACCTGGTCATACCAAGTCTTGAGTGTTGAAAATGACAAGGTATCAGTGATGGATAGTGAGTTAAGAAGACAAGAATGATCAGAGACTCACCAATAGACGTCCATCTGCCAATTGACTTTTTGAAAATACTTCCAAATCCTTGACACTGGACACCACTTGTGAACGTCCTCAAAGAGAGCTTTTGAGTCCAGGAAGGATTTGCATTTGAAGCTGTTGCTTTGATAGTCCAAGTACAAATCAACAAAGCTGAGATCAAGTGAGTCAAAAGTGGCAATAAGATGTGAAAAAACCTCTACCAAAATACCCTACTTGGGTATTACTGGAGGGTTGAAAATTTGGGTCTCGGGGCCGGCCCCGGGGCCGGCTTGTGGTTGTAACTAAGCTGGATCAACTGTAGGAATACATTGAGGTGCCTGTAAAAGCATGTTCTGTGTCATCCTAAATTTCACTTGATTTCTAACTATGACATCATTTGATTTTCATCCTTTCTGATGACTTCATGGCATAGATATTTTGGATCTGCTTCACATCCTGCTCAACTAGGACAGCTTAAAACATTGTTTTTTGTCCAAGGAGACCCGTCTTTTTCGAGGGTATCACTCTCCCTTGATCATCTTCTAGAGCAGATCAACTATATTTATCACATCACAACTATCAATTCCACAAATCACTTGTGTTTCATTTGCCAACAGTTAAGTGCCAATTTTTACCCCGGTTTTAGGTGAGTATGTACTACTTAAATTTCTATATCTACAAGATCTTTCTGCTCTTCATAGAAATAAATCAGAAATAGTAGAGATTACTTGTGAAGCAACCAGATTCCAACTTACTCAGGTTAGCCATTCAAAAATGTAGAGTCCTGTATATATGCAACTTGAATATTTCTTTGATGTTTTAAAAGGATTGCTCTTCTGGCCTTGAAATAAGCTTAATACAGTCAAACCCGCGCTAATGCATAAATTGGGGAGACAATTTTTGCTATGCATTATTGCGGGTTATGCAAATAGGGATAAACCCCCATAATGCATATTGTATGCATTTAGGCCTAAATGCATTGAAATATGCATTATGACGGGTTTTTGTTGAAATTGTATGAGTTTATGCAATAGTACGTTTGTATTTTGCGCGGGTGAAAGGACAAGATATTTTTTCGACGCAGAAAAAAACACCACTAGGGGTTGGTTTGACCCCATAGAGGGCTCATTGCTGCCTGATGTTGCCAAAATCCTACTTGCAAAGGATTCGATCAGAGTTCAATGAAAAAAAAAACACATCCTGGGGCGCTTTGTAGGCATGCATTATGACTTTGGGGACTTGAAAAGAAGTATGCATTATGGTTTTTGACATAATTATGCAATTAATGACAAAATTGGCCTGCACCAGCTGGGTGGAAACCAAAACATATGCATTTTGGCTGGTTATGCATGTGCACGGGTATGCATGTGCGCGGGTTTGACTGTAGATGTCTTTAATAAGTCCAAGGAGATTGATGTATGTGAGATCAAATTTCGGTTTTTTTATATAAGGTGATCAATTTGATGAGATTCAAAAATGAGAGATTGGATACAGAGAAAACAGAGGAAAAATGTTCAACCATCTTTCATTGAAAGTTGACTCCTTCAAAAACCCAGATCCCAAATTGAAACAACCTGATGAATAATATTAAAAGCATGCGCAAACCTAATAGTAAAACCAAACATCTTGATCATATCTGCATTTGTATTAAACAATAACAACAAAAACCCTATTTTCTTTGATCATTTCTCAATTCTCGAGAGTTCAATGAATAAAAGGAATCAAACACCAACCATAAACTTGATTGCTCAAAGGAAAACAAACAAAAATGATTTCTTACAAATACAAAACCCCAAAATCACTTTTTTCATTTTCTTTTACAAAACAAATAAATATATATTATGTAAACAACCATGAGAAAATAGAAACTTGACCTGAAATTAAACCCCAAAAAAAGAAAACCGTCTAAGCTTACTAAAGGAAACAAAAAAACAGATAAACATTCATACCTACAATATACATACTTCAAACTTTCTATGATGATGATGATGATAACAACAACAAGTTTTGACCTATGGATTTGAAGAAGAAGAAGGTGAAAGAGGGAGAAAAATTGTTTATGCATCTTTTTGATGTGAAGTGAAATGAAAATCGAAAATCGAAAGAAGAAAAGATGTGAGAAGTGATGGATACAACGAAGTCATCAAATTATAGATCATACAATAGGAAAAATTAACAATGCTGATTAAGAGAGACGTGCGTAATGGTAGGTTTTGTGATATGAATGTCAAAAAAAGGAGAAAATTAAAGTGATCACATATTATGAGTTTTAAGTATATGAGTGAGCGTTATTGAGTGATTGAAAACTGATTGGATACCCTTGCATCAGAGCTCCAATCTGCGTTCTGGTACTTCAAGATATCCTCCTTTTTCCCACATTCCAGGTCTACTCAACAAAAAGACGTACGGTCAATAAAGCAAACCACGGAAGCCTTATAGAAGACAGATAGGCTTACTTATATACTTGACCAGATCTCAGTAAGGGATCAATGGCGCCTACCATCAAACTTGATAACCTGGCAAAGTCCACAGGTTTCAAAATCCATCCATCCATTCCTGCATCTGTGATCTCAGCCCGTTGGCGTTCATGTAAACTAGCTGAGACTGCTAAGATAGGTACACCACAATTGATTCGATGACTTTTTGGTAACGATACATCCCATTTGGTCCGTTCTTTTTCAAACTCTCGTATCCTCCGTGTCGCTTCTAATCCATCACAAATTGGCATCCTAGAAGCCATAATGACAAAATGATCACCAAGTGTTAGAGTCAACAACCTCTCTTTTCCGCCTCATCACTTCCAAACAACCACACACTCAACTGTAAGTCCATCAATATGATATCAAATTGTGCATCTTTTGAAAAAAGTTCAACGGCTTCTTGTCCGTGTACCGTCAACGCAACTGCATGTCCGCTTTGAGTTAGCTTTTTCTTCAAAATTACTCGACTTTATGATGCGCACAAATCATTTGGTCAGTTATGGAGATCCATGAGATACAATTCACTTTTCAACAGGAGGTGTTGAGGAATATATCAACTCACTTGATCGCATCATCTTCAACTACCATCACTCTCATAGGCTCTTTCGAAACCACCCTTGAATTTACCGATCGAGTAAAGTTACTTATATGATCCACCATCAAATTACTCGAAGCTGTACTCCTGGTGGTCTCGGCCGACTTAATACTTGCTGGTTCATGTGACTGCATGCTTCCTGTCTCCACAGACACGCTATCACTTCTAAGTCCACTGAGTGACTTCGCCCCCATCTCAACGGATCGAGGTGGTTCGGATTTGTTGACTGTTTTACGGTCATCGACCTGTCTCGCTCGAACATTCGAACCTGTCGTCTGAGTTGCTTGGCCGATTCGCAAAGGAGATATCACACTTGCTCGATTCGGCACATAAGTGATCTTCTGATCTGCTTTCCTATCTCTTTTTGTTGAGGAGTATCCGAGTTTTGATGATTCAGCACTGACTAAAGCATCATGCGAAACAGAGCGTTGATGGCTGTCCTGGTCCGTTTCAATCTTCGCTAACGAAGCATGCGTGAGTTTTGCAGGAGCCGAGCTGTCTGAACTTGGACCTTTGGGCGTTAGAGACCGACTTTTAGAGTTTGAATTGCCGGCCAACTTGACAGTTTTATGTGGCCACTCAAATCTGCTTGCTCCTGGCCACCCAAGGGCAGAATGCGAGCTTGAACTGCTACCTGTATCTTCCGTAGACTTATAAGCACGCGCAGGTGTGTTCGATGAGCCAACTGGGCTACGCAGTCGAGTTCGGTTTGGGCTGAAAGGGGTTCGTAGCCCTCCTGCGGTCGTGTCGGCTATACCTACAGGCCCTTGGATAGCCTCAACAAGACCATCGATTTCGGAACGGTGCCCGCCTGATCCACTCCCGACACTACCAGTACTCGACCGCTTTGCCAAGAGCGACCGATTGGCAGCATTAGAGTCATCTGACCGATTCCGCAACATCGCGGGAGAGTTGTCGGATGTGCTCAGTGAACCACGCCGGGAGGGTGCCGATCCACCTGAGGCTGAGGGCACCACAACCGCAAACGGTAAGATGATGGTGAACTTTGATCCCTGATTGACCTTGGAGTCCACTCGAAGCTGGCCACCCAGATTGTGAACAACCCGACCGACGACAGCCAGTCCAAGGCCTAGAGATTCTTCGGGTTGAGTCCCATCTATGGATTCACCGGTTTCAACCTGCTCGAAAGCTCGGAAGATACTTTCTAATTTAGCTTCAGGGATGCCTCGGCCGGTGTCAGTCACAGAGACGAAGATTCTGAAAGGAATGATGGGTCCATTTCACTTGTGAGATCGATGTTCAGGGTGAAAGATTGAATTCTCTGGAACCACGCTCACCTTGCATGTTCTTCCGATATTGTTCCCTGGTCACTTTCGGTAGCTTCATCACCCCAGTACACTTGGACCGTACCGTGTGTAGTGTGTTTGACTGCATTGCCGACCAAGTTCGAAACGACCTGTCTTAGCCGAGCTCGGTCACCTGCGACGGTGACCGGAGCGCAGTTCGGACTCTCTATGACATGGAATTGTAAGCCCTTGCGCTCGGCTTCCCTTCGATGAATGGAGATGGCTTCTTCAATAGTTGAGGCGAGGTGGAATGGCTCGCGCGAGAATAGGTCACCTCCCTGTTCAGCCTTAGTCAAGTCCTAGGAAGATCAAATCCAGTCATGGGGGTGGGGTCAATACATTTTGCACCTAACCTGAGTCATTCACATTCTAATTGAAAAAATCAAGATTCACCAGAAGATCGTTGATCACGTGAACCAAAGATTTCGACGCGTGGTAAGACCTTGATAAATTATCCCTTGTTTCATCATCCAGATTACCATCCAACGCCAACTCCAAAGTCGACAGAATTTGATGCAAAGGTGTCCTAACTGAATACATTTGCGAAACGTGACTTAGCTTCTCCGCTAGTTGTAATTCACACCATTAAATGAAATCTGAAGCAAACCTTCGTGACTAGCATTCGATAAAAGCAATGTTTGTAATTGATTGGTATGAACGGCTGCTTCCTTCTGCCGCCATACATCAATAAATTTACCATAGACCAAACTAAGAACTGATCCTGTTTCGAGTTGCTCCTCCGTCCAATTTTTGGATCGCCCTCTGACAGTCTAAAGAACAATTCAAAAGAAAAAGATGTCAAGGAGATGTATGAGCAAGTTGATAACATGGCAACAAGCCATCGCATACTATCAAACCAAAGGCTAGAGATAACACTTTACCTCAGACCAGATCTTGAACGATTTACGCGGCTCTAATGTTCTCAAATGAGCATAGCTTTCTTCAGAAGCTGTGGGACTACGCCCCGCCTTTTCGTCTTTTTCATATGGGTTCCCAGCCCAGTGAATCTCTTTCAATTGACCTTGTCGAAAGAAAGCTATAAAGTCTTGTCCGCCCCTAGAAAGGGGAATCACCAACATTCCACAAATGGTCTGGAAGGTCGCGGGGTATGCAATATCGGCATATTCTTGTGAGATATCTGTTGATACTTGCATTGAGCTAAAAGCATACCATTTTAAAATATATGACAAAGGTCAGCAAACTTGCACCTCGTATATCTTGTTGATACGGAGCTGACACCCGATCTGTAAAGCAAAAGTTGGCATGACCGGGTTCGGTGTGTGATACACTCACTTGAATGACTTGACACGTAGATATTCCAACACAGCCAATAGCTCTTGACTATTGTGAACCGGTCCCAAAATCTTGGCCTCGTCCCCAATCGATAGTACTCCAAACTCGGCATCAAATAACCATAGGAGGTCTTCAGCCTTTGCCACAATGTAGCCAGATGGGTTAGCAGCTGTCGCAGCTGTATTGATCAGCTTTCGTGATTCTAATCGATGAGAAAGATTGAGTCGCTCAATGTTTCTTGAGATACTATCTCCCAACATCCGACAGAAGTGACGAGTTGGAAAGGTGACCCGATGACCATATCGACCATACGAATGGCATGAAATCAAGCCCCACAATGCGTTGTTACAGATTATTGAAATTGAGAATGAAGCACGCTGTAGTACGCATCAAAAGCTATATTCAGCATCATACCACTGCGAATGGAGAATAAGAACGTGAAAAGACGTAATCACTCACGACACCCATGTTGGCGAGGTATTTGATATGGATTGGACTCATTGCCCGCAGATGGCAATGTGTCATATCCAACGGTGTGTTCACTTCCTCTGGCGACCGACACATCAATCGAGCGGTGGGCATGTCCCGGTCATACAGCATTCGTACCTTGTTGATCAGATACAGATCACGCGCCTGTGCCGGGATATCTACATTCCAATGAGACAAATTGGATTGAAAGACAAGAAGGATTGGCAAAACTGAGTTCAGATCACTACACCCAATTTTTCGATCAATAAGATTGGTTGTGCAAATAAAAAAATACGAGATGGAAGTCTGATCCACAATGCTTGTCTGCATATATTCAGGAATTGACAAGAGGATGGTACATCTCAGAGGGGATAAGCCAAAGAAGAACGACAATGACTCACCAGTTGAAGGAAATCTCAGACCTCGATAAAGATCTCGTGTCTGTTTCCAGTCTACTAATTCAGCTACAACTTGACCGTTCCAATTCTCATCAAACTGACAGGGTAGGTAAGAGAAAGTTGAACAAGTAAGCATATGTCATCACTTTCATCATGCAAGTTCACGACGGTTGAACAAGAGCGCTGACTTGATAAACCATGACACGATGGAAGCCAGTCAGTTCACGAACTACTCCAACCGACATCTTCAGGAAACTGGGTAAATCTTTAGCTTTGTCAAATTGTTCGTTGACCTGACTCAGAATCGAGAGTACCTCGACACTATCACCACTAAAGTCTTTACCCTTCTTACGAAGTCGGGAGAGTGCCTTGATTGGCTTGTTGACTGATCGAGTCGACTCAATCAGGTCTTCTTCAGTGGGAAGATAAGGTTCTCCTGCCATTCCTCCACGCTCATCGTAACTCAGGGGCTCTCTCGAGATAATGGACGGAGGGTTTATTGTATCAGTCTCAAGCTCGAATTCAACAATGATCAATGCCGGCCTGCGGATAGGCTCTGGTCGGTGGGCTGCACACCAACACGTCCATGTGCTGTGACTTGATCGGCCATCTAGCCCTGAACCCCGTCCACCTTGTCCAGATAGCCTGAACGTATGCGCACCGGCTTCTTCTTGTCCCCCCTCGAGTGTCACTTCAAGATTATCATAAAGTACTTGAGCCTCATCGGGCGAGAGGATGTCGGAGAATGAGTGAAGCTGTAGTAACGATTGTGGACTGTGGCCAAGAATAAGCCCTGAGTTTTCAGAGACTTGCACCACTTCCACACGAGATATTTGCAACACTTCTTGGTGGTTATCTGCATTCTCTGAGCTTGGTGATACAGGAATAGTAGATGTATTGGGCTCCTCCGGATCCGTTGATTCAGATGAGCTTGGAAGAGGAATGTTGCCGTGTAATACGACCGCGATCAGAACACCAAAGGCCTGAATTGCACCCGGTACACGTATGGGTTCATCTTCGCACTTGGTAATTTCACCTTGCCTGCCTGTCAAGACGATGAACCCCTCGTCAGTCTGAGCATGCTCAAACCGAGTGGTGAGGTAGCCGTCCCGAACATAAGGCTTAGGAGTAGGTTCAGCCGCAGGCGTGCCGATGGGATTGCCTGTCGATGGTTCTCCTACAGGTGAGGGATCGACCGGATGAGATGAAGTGGTAGTATGAAGATTTGGTCTAATGGGGATAGTTATACTAGATGCCGGATCGGAGCTTATTCGAGAGTCAGGCCCATTGGTAAGAAGCGGATTAGGACTCAATGAGCGTGGACCAGTTAGGCCTTTAGGAATGTCTTTGAGCCCGCTCAGGTTAAGCATTGTAGCTGAGGAACGGGGCCGACGTTCGTTGGGTGAAGTCTGACGAGAATGAGCTAAAAGATGACGATGAGTGAGGTCTGGCTGGTCGGAATTGGAAGAGTGAAATTGCAAAGGTGATGCCATGTTCGAAAGCGAGAGAGAACGTGAATGACGAAGAGGGGATCCAGCTCCCATGTTTAATGCAGTGACAGGTCCGGAAGATCTTGAAGAGCGGGTACTGGAGGGCGGAGGAGGAGAGAGGGCAGGTTGGTTTTCGGTGATGCTTGACATTGCACCAGAGGGGTTAAGGTTTTGATGCTGTTGAACATGGTCACGAGCAATGACGGGAGAATTGGTGGTACTAGATGTCCTTGAGCTTCTCTTACTCTCTGGAGATCGTTGAGGATTATGATGGTGAGTAGATTGAGAGTTTTTCCTAACTTGAAGAATACTTTTGATTGGAAAGATACGCTCGCTAGTTGTGCCGATTGAACTCGAGTTACTAGGAGGAGCGTCGTGGTTTGGATCGGGATGACTGTTGCCAGAGTTGTGAGTTGAGCCATGACGAGGATCGAAAGGTGAATTTTTGAATGAGTGTGTAGGAGACACTGGAGGGTTGACCATGAGGACTAGGATGAGAAGTGAATATGAATCAGAGAAGATGAGGATTGAAGGAAGATGGAAGAAGAAGATGGAAGAAGGATTGGTAAAGAAAGAAATGTGCCAAATGGTCAAGTAGCAAGTGATGATTTGAAAAGTTACAGTTTGCAATAAACTTAATTGTTGATCTTAATCAGTCACAGTACTGTATGTAAATCATCGATCGAATTCAAAGAGTGGTGTGTAATTACCAAGATCAAAAGGGGTGACACCACCATACATAAACTTCAATTCTGATCAATGCCTCAAATCAAATCACTGCAATAATGAACTTTATATTTCACTTCACTTCATCATCATCTGATTTAGATTATTACAGTCGTTCTCAGAAATGTTGGAAAAATGCAAAATCTCGAGCTGAGCTCGGGGTCCGTGCGCTGAGCAGGGACACGCAGATACAAACACTGACAAAAACTTTGATTTTGACAGGTATCTCAAGATGAAAATTCGTTTACTTTCCATCATACCTCGATGACCACACACCTATCTTGCCAATGGCCAGGCTAACGGACTGATCTCTTCAGAAAAACGGTGAAAACGTATGATTTCATGGTTAAGGGATTGTAACACGAGTTGAGGATCAGAGGAAGGATGGCATGGAGAGGACACAAGGGAGTTGAGGTTGGTGAAAGGGACACTGATCTCCACTCGACAGCTGCCATGACTTTTCCGTGACACATGTCATGAAAAAGTCACCTCCTCGGGACCACGACCTCAGCTCGAGATGTTGGATTTTTCCAACATTTCTGAGAACGACTGTACTTATTCTGCACAAGACCCATCAAGCTTAAAAATTCCTTCAACTCACAGCCCTTCTCCACTCGAATCCACATCACATGTTACAAGTTTTGCGTGAAGAAGCAGTCAAACCAGATTCCGGAAAAGGTTGACGAACGAGATGTTGAAAAGTCCAGGATGACCGTGCGCCGCGTCAACGGGTGCTAAGCTTGAGTACATCCCGGTCGCTGACCCGGACAGATGCTGAGAACATAAGGAGCATTTACATAAGCACTAAACTTAACAAAGTCCCACGCTCGCGCATCCTCGCGAGGCGTCGAGCGAGGGACTTACGCCAAACTTGCACGCTCCATAACCTCGCGGTGGAGAGTTTTGCAGGGAGCGCCCTTCAATGCCGTTTATCTTTTTCCACACCGAGGATTCAGGCATGGTCCAAAGAGAAAAAATATGCACCAGAGTAAGGCGCATGTTGTACAGATTTTTCACCAAGGGAAACTGCTCCCCTTTGTGAACAAAAGTGCTTCAAAGTTTTGGCTTCAATGGCCACTGTACATGTAAACCACACATGGAACTGCTGTAAATGGGAAGGATCGGTCACAAAGGCGGGTTTTGTTCCTCCATTATCTACATAGTAAGAACACTTTCCTCGGTGAAAATTGTGTACAATATGTGCCTTATCCTGGCGCATATTTCTGCTCTTTGGACCATGCCCGAATCCTCGGTGTGGAAAAAGATAAACGGCATTGAAGGGCGCTCCCTGCAAAACTCTCCACCGCAAGGTTATGGAGCGTGCAAGTTTGGCGTAAGTCCCTCGCTCGACGCCTCGCGAGGATGCGCGAGCGTGGGACTTTGTTAAGTTTACATAAGCACCTGCATGCAGAAATGCATCGAGGAAAACCCTGGAAAACCACACCTTTGGGCACGGCTCATAATTGATAGAGACTGAGTCCATCGCTTGCCTCAAGACATCTTTCTTCCCCTCGGCCCTTTGGGCATTTTTTTGTCGCCAACCATTGTATCTATGCCATCTTTCATATTCTCTTGATGGGAATTTGCAAATATTACGCCGACTTGAAGCTCGCCGCCACTACAATGGATGACTCCCTTTGTCACTCCATATCACCCCATTCAATTGTCTGCTGGAATGAGCTATACAAGACACAAAGACCCTGCTGACTAACAAGTCTGTGACCAACTGCACCTCTTCTTTGATGAACAATTCAGCATATTACCAGATGTTGTCCTATGTACATGGATGAGGTTCAAGCTCATGTGCAACTAGTGACCAGTGTCAAGGTTTCAAAGACTACACTCAGTCTGGAACTGCATGAGCAACTTGGCCTGTCATTGCTGGTCACCTGGGGTGTTCTAAGCTGCAAGTACAATTTGAAAAATATTTCCTTTCCTACTGAAGTAAGTTGGCAATACCTGAACAGGTAAATGAGTCCCATCAACAGAGTCAACAAAGATCTTGAAGTACACATACCAGTAAGGGTTATCACAAATGTCTTTTGAAAGCAGAGGATCTTGTTGAGGGGGAGAAATGTATGAGTGAAACAACTGTGTATCTGTGGGAATATCTTGAGTTAGGTTGTTGATGATCCTGTAGAGATATAAGTCACTGGTGATATGAGTATCAGTCTATGAAAATAATTTTTCAAGAGACACAATTGATTTACTTTGAAAATGCATCAGTAAACCTTTGGAAGCGCTGGTTGACTTTGTATTAGATAGAAAGTCCAGAGCTAGTTGCTCTGTACTACAGTTGACTCTGAGAAAACCAATATGTGTCAGAACCAATACTCTTGAAAAAACCAATAGTTTTTAGGTCAAATATATTTTATTTGCAGTAAAATTGGTCAAAAAACCAATAACTTTATCAAACCCAATAAACAATACTTTTATGTTGAGATCCAAAGCTCAAATCCAATAATTGAGCAGGTCACATGATTTGTGGTTGTGGTTTTTTGCATTTCTTTTGTTTCTGGAATCAGTGTATTTACTTACTCTTTCATTTACGGGATACAAAGTAGAATCCGGGCACGTGCCCGGCTTTGTACCCAGATTTTTTTTGGCAGTAACTTTGAATTCTGGGCCCAGACTTTTGCCCAGAAAATCAAAATTTACTACCAAAATAATTTGGGGCACGAAGCCGGGCACGTGCCTGGATTCTACTTTGTATCTCACAATTCTCAATCACTTCGCAATCTTAATCATCAGTTCTGAAATGCTTCCCAAGGACATTTTTAAATACAATCTTTCTCAGGTTGGAAAAGGTTTTGAAACCTTGCAATCTGATAATAATGCTTGCTTAAAACCTTTGAGAGAGCTGCTCAGCTCAGGAAAGAAACTCGCCAAAGCTGACAAATGGTTCATGGATATAACAGCAAACATTGTTGACCAGTTGAGGTTGGTGGAGCGCATCAAACAAGTTTGGGATGTTGCCAGTGGCACCATTGAGTTCAAGAGGAGAAGGCCATGTTGGAGGTCCCTCTCCTCAAGGCTGAAAAGCCGTGTCCAGTGATTTCAAAACCACTTTGCAGTGAGTCTACAGTTGTTTCATCTCAACCAAAAGGGTAATGATGAATTTCACTCTTCTAACAGAATGTTGTTTGCCCCCCCAGAAAAACGGAAACATACCAAAACTCCACAGCCAAACCCTTCTGCCAAACAGACAGTCAAAAGAAAAAAGAAAAAGGTCATCAAGAATGTCAACCCAGCTTGAGGGACGAGACAGTGATGCACTTAGAGTAAAATTCTGGGGTTGGTCTTTACTCCAAGAGAAAGACTACAACCAAGCACCCCCAAGTCACCCAAGCACTGTAAACTTGAGTTACTCAAGCTGAACACCTGGGTCAGTCATGCATTCAATGTGGAATTGGTTTGCAAATCTCTTCAAGATACCAAATTAAGATTGAATTGGTCTCTATGAGGGGTTGTTGATTAGCTTGAACAAGCCCTCTCTGCGCGGCCACGTCTGCGCGCCTCACAGAGGGGCTTGGGACTAATCGTGAGTTCCTGGCACGGAGACTCCACGAGTTAAGTCCACTTATGTAGTTTTTCGCCTTTTCCCGCTTTCCTCACCAATAAAAACAACTTTACCTTGCAGGAAGAGTTGTTCATATTTTTGTTCTACACATCCTCATAGCCTCAGATTGTACACAAACCATCTGATGCGGCCAGAAATGTGGCTTTAACATTCTTACAACACCCGCCTGTATTGTGGTCTGTTTTCAGTGCTTTTTGTACATTAGTTTCTGCCTGCGCCAAATTCACCAAATGTTTTGCACATCCTTATGTTTAAATCACGTACGATGCGAATACAGGCTGTACATTCATTTACATATGGGACATAAGAGCTTGAAAACTCAACTCATGATCAGGGTGATGAAGTAGTGATAACCAGGATATCAAGATGGAAACACATGTAGAACAAAAATACAAACAACTTTTCCTGCAAGGTAAAGTTGTTTTTATCAGTGAGGAAAGCGGGAAAAAGCAAAAAACTACATAAGTGGACTTAACTCGTGGAGTCTCCGTGCCAGGAACTCACGATTAGTCCCAAGCCCCTCTGCGAGGCGCACGGACGTGGCCGCGCAGAGAGGGCTTGTTCAAGCTAAGGT